ATGAAGTGTAGTTTGAGAGGGGCAGGTGTCTGAGGAAGGGAGGCCAGTAGGGTAGCTATTGGTGTATTGTGCGTAAACGATTCTGTTCCTAATAGTTACTCATATGTGATGACACGAGGAAGGATGCGCTGTGTCACGTTACGTTGATTTCCCTTTACAAAATGAATGACTTAGATACATGATGTTTAAAAACAGGCTATTTAATCTTTAAAGGCATGTTAAAGTTCCTGTTGTGGAAATTTTATGGTTAAATGGTTTATGAAGAGCTTACCTTCAGGCAAGCAAGTCTAGCTGGTGTGCGGAGCGAGGAAGACCATGATGCTGCGAGAAGTGGGAGCAGATACAGTATTTCACAAAGGTGGAAGAGTTAGCACTTAGCTGCAGCAGAATCTGTTGGACGTGCACACTAAAACAGGTGTAGGTTCAGCTTGTGGGTGTTGATGTCCCCAGAAGCTATCCTTGTAGCTAGTACAACCCGCTTAATACCGTGGTGATAGCCTGTGTGAGACTAGCTTTCAGATAGATAATCTGACCCTAAGAAGACTTTAATTCTTGTTTGCTAGAGTAAAACAAGATTAAAAAAGATATACCATATTAAAGGGCTTCAAAGAAACCTGCATATAGTTTTTCCCTCTTGTAGCATAATCAGTAATTCGCTTGATGAATAGGCTTTCTAACGTCCAACTAAAAGCATATTGAAAGCATAATTTAAGTACCCTATAATTTTTTAGAATTTTGGGAATATCGGCCTCAAAATATCAAGAAGTTTTAGCATATATCCGTAAATGTGCCAGTTTCTTTCAGGCTTTATATTAGGATTACACCAAGTAATGAGCAGTTAGCCATAGAGTTACCAAGAGTTAATCTGAAACAGAACTAGATGTTATCGTGGTAATTTAGGATAGATACTCATCCCACCTGAGTGTAAACTCAGGCATAAATCCCATGAAGAAGGTGTAGTGAATTTTACATAAGTAGGAGCCTTTCGTTTGATTCTTCTTTGTGCTAAAGGAACTAATTTCATGTGAAGAGAGGAGAAATTTCATGTGAAGGTTTTTGGCCATTAAGTAAAATCGCTCATGCACAAAACTACTTCCCAAAGACTTCTCCCAGGTTCTTCATGTCAGAGAATTAAGAGTACCATGGAAGATAGCACGATCTTACCAAATGAGACAATTGGCAACAAACAGAAAATAAAATACGACTTTTCATGTGAACTCTATAGAATGTCTACATACTCAACGTTCCCCAGTGGCGTTCCCGTCTCAGAGAGGAGTCTGGCCCGGGCTGGTTTTTACTACACTGGTGTGAATGACAAGGTCAAATGCTTCTGTTGTGGCTTGATGCTGGACAACTGGAAACCTGGAGACAATCCTGTTGAAAAGCACAAACAGCTCTATCCTAGCTGCAGTTTTATTCACAGTCTGGTCACTCTCACTAGCCGGGATTCCACCTTAAAGGCGACTTCTCCAATGAGAAACCGTTCTCCACATTCATTATCTCCCACTTCGGAACATGGGGGCTCCTTCAGTGGTTCTCATGCCAACCTTGCACCGAGCCCTGCTAATCCTAGAGCAGTGGAAGACTTCTCCCCATTGAGGACTAACCCCTACAGTTATGCAATGAGTACTGAAGAGGCCAGATTTCTTACTTACCATATGTGGCCGTTAACCTTTCTGTCACCATCAGACCTGGCAAGAGCTGGTTTTTACTATATAGGACCTGGAGACAAAGTCGCCTGCTTTGCCTGTGGTGGGACCCTGAGTAACTGGGAACCAAAGGATGATGCGATGTCAGAACACCGCAGACATTTCCCCAACTGCCCGTTTTTGGAAAACTCTCTGGAGACGCTGCAGTTTAGCATTTCAAATCTGAGCATGCAGACACACGCAGCTCGACTGAGAACGTTCGTGTACTGGCCGCCCAGCGTACCTGTTCGGCCCGAGCAGCTGGCAAGTGCTGGTTTCTATTACGTGGGTAAGAACCTCTCACGTGCATGTATGTTTTATCAGGTTCACTTTGTTGTTCGTATTAGGATGTGTGTGTAAGTTCAGTCTTGTTTTCTTTAGGTCGCAATGATGATGTCAAATGCTTTTGTTGTGATGGCGGCTTAAGGTGTTGGGAGTCTGGAGACGACCCGTGGGTGGAGCACGCCAAGTGGTTTCCAAGGTAACTGTGTTGCAAGGTATTACTGCCCCAAACTGTGCTTACAAGAGGCAGGTGTGCTTGCAGAATTTAGGTTACATTTCAGTATAACAAAGCTGCTTTTATGTGTTGGGAAATTGGTCTTTTAGAGCACTAAATCTAAGGCCTCTGGCTTAGCGGGGGGGCATGTGACTCTCGGTCCCCGACCGTTGAACTGCACACTGGGTGTAGAGATTACTTAATAACTTAAAACACACCCGAATTTTCACGTTAATTGTTTTGATAAAAATGTTTTAGAATGTTCTCTTTCCTTTTGTAAGCCATGTATTCAGGATGTAATATAACTTGCTATGATTTTTTTAAAAAAGACTTACTTATTTGAGAGAGGGAGAGGATGCTAGCAGTGGGATGGGCAGGGAGGGGAGAAGACAAGCAGACTGGGTGCTCGGCTTGATCTTGGGCTGGATCCCAGGACCCTGAGACCATGACCTGATCATGAGTCATGCCTAATCACCTGAGCCACCCAGGTGCCCCTAATTTTAGTTTATTCTTGTGGATTCATTTATAATTATGGCCATATTTTTTTTTTTAAGATTTTATTTATTTATTTGTCAGAGAGAGAGAGAGAGCACAGGCAGACAGAATGGCAGGCAGAGGCAGAGGGAGAAGCAGGCTCCCTGATGAGCAAGGAGCCCGATGTGGGACTCGATCCCAGGACGCTGGGATCATGACCTGAGCCGAAGGCAGCTGCTTAACCCACTGAGCCACCCAGGCGCCCCTAAAATTTTATCTTTAATATTCATAATATAACAAGGTAAAATTTGACCTTCTAATTCTTAAAAGTGACATATTGTTTAGATTACTTAGGAAAATATATTTTGTCAGAATTTTAAATGACTTTATTATGCTTGGCTCTATGGGATTGGGTGCATAAAATTTGAAATTTAATAACAGTATTAGAAAGACAAAAATAGATTTTCAGTTCCGGGGTTGGAATTACTGCATTTTGTCCTTTGTAAAACAAAAGAAAACAAAATCTTGGTTTATTTCCATCATTTGTGTTTTGTTGAAATGGTTAAATAAGGGAAAAAGGCTTAGGGTGCTTTGTGTGAACACTTTGGAAAGCGGCAAATTTCAATTGTGGATAATCTTTAATCTCAGTAAATGGAAAACCAGAATGGATAATTGTTATCAGTGTATTTACTTGTCCTGTGATTGAGGGCCAACTGGAGGATGTTTCAGATGCTGGAGATGAAACAGCGATGAAGACAATGATCTCTGTCCTTACTGAACTTCTTAGAGGAGGGGCGATATATGAGCCAGGGCTCATTGTACTTGCTTTAATAATAATGAATGTAAATTAACCGGTCCCAGAGCAAAAATAATTAAAAACTGTATGACGACTGAGAACATCGTGAGAATGAGCTGTTTTATCTCCGTGACAGACTGAAGTCATGAGCATGCTTCCGTGGTCCCTGCTGATTCCGGGCTGTCCGTGCTTGAAGAGCATTTGGGTTGTTTCCAGCTTGCAGCGATAAGCACAGAGCCACTGTAAACATTAATAAACATTTGTGACCGATGTTTTGGCTTGGAAGACCAGCCGGGCGTGGGATGGATGGGTTGTGTGGCAAGTTTTCACTTCCGACGAAGTGCTGTGTTGTTTCCTTAAGCGGCTGTGCCGTTGTAGGTTTCTGCCCGCAGCCCGTGAGCTCTCCCGGTGTCCCACATCCTTAGCTGTAAGTGGGATCATCATTTTAGTGTGGCCATCCCAGAAGGGGTGCCCTGACACTTCTCTGTGCTTTTCAGTAGCATTTCCTTAATGAGTAATGACAGTGAGCGGCTTATTTGCCTTCTACGTACCTTCTTTGGTAAAGTGTCCAAATCTTTTGCCCATTTTAAAGTTTTTTTGATTACTAAGTTTTGAGAGTTCTTAGAACATTCTGGGTACACGTTCTTTAACAGGTGTGTTTTGCTACCTTTGAGTTTGTGGCTTGTCTTTTCATTGTTTTAACAGTGGCTTTTGAGGATGTCATTTTATCGGTTTTATTCTGTATGGATTATGCTTCTGGTCTCTTAGCTGAGTGATCTAAGGAAGAAAAGATTTTTCTGCTGTCTTCTAGAAGTTGCACTGTGTGATGTTGATCTTCAGCTCTGATTCATTCTTAGTTTCTGCACGCAGCTGGGCGTAGGTGGAGGCTCGTTTTTGCGGGTAGGTGCTGAGCTGTGGTTAGCAGCACTTTAATGAGCTACCGAAGGGATAAAATGGAAGTAGCCGTTCAGTGAGCTTCTTGGAAGGCTTTCGAGCAGCTCTGGGTGAACAGGTGTTTGGGAAACACCGTCATTATGCATAGAGATGAAAATATTTCTCTATGTTTTGGAAGGAGGGTTTGTGCTTCACTGGTATTGGAAGAGGGATCCCTGAGAAAGATAAGCAGTTACGTTGTGAAAGATCCCATTTTAGGAATACTAATTACAGCTTTTGAAACTATGTGAAACCCCGAGAGTAAATTGTCCGAACAGCATTTTTCAAGTCTTAGCTTGTGCGCCTTTGAGGTCTAAACCCTTTTCTTGTTACTTGTTAATGTGATTAAGTAGAAAATGGCAGAATGCATCAATACGTAGTAAGAGTTAGTGTTTTATGAGGATTTTTAAGGATTTTTTCCTGCTCAATACAGATGTGTACTAGGTTGTGATGTAAAATGTTAATACTGTGGGGCACAGAGTTTGAAACCCACTTTTCTAGAAAATCAGGTTTTTTGTTTTTTTTTTTTTTAAGGTATAAAACGCTTCACAAGTAATTGTCATCTTCTGTTATAGGTGTGAGTTCTTGATACGCATGAAAGGGCAGGACTTTGTTGATGAGATTCAAGCTCGATACCCTCACCTTCTTGAGCAGGTGAGTAAGTTCTTACACTTGTCAACGCTGAATTCTCCTAAATGATAATGACAAAGAATATTATTAAGAGTAATATTCACATGTGTATTTTCTTAACATTGTGTTTTCTTATTAAGTATGGTTAATTGCTTTATATCCAATTAATGAGACCTTTAATTTTTACTTTTGTAACTACCTTGCTTATTCAGGGCTTTTTAAAAAAACTTTTAGGGGGCACCGGGTGGCTTATTGAGCCATCCAGTTTTGGTTTCGGCTCAAGTCATAATCTCAGGGTTCTGGGATTGAGCCCCGTGCTGGGCTCCCTGCTCATGGGGAGTGTATTTGAGATTCTCTCTCCCCCCTGCCCCTCCCCCTGCTCACTTGCGCTTTCTAAATGAATAAAAAAAAAAAAGATTTCTTGCTTTCAGGGTTCTGAGAAATCAGTTTTCCAGTGTACAAATGTGTGGTGGGATTAGAGGAGGATCGGTAGTGTCTCCTCCATCTTTTCTAGAAAAATAAACAAAAACAACTTGCTAGGACTTTGGAGCCTCTGGGAGTGATCCAGCTGAAATATCTTTCAAATGGAGTGAGGAACCATTAATTCTTCCCCCTTCCCTGAAACTAGAGAAGTACTTGAACTCTGTTTGGAAGTAGGTAAAGTTTAAGGGGATTTTTTGATGATGAAGGTAAGACAGAGCAAAGTAAGTATATAAATTGCCTAGTTTTCAGAAGAGTGTATGTGTTACTGGAGGTAAACTTATCCTATTGCTCTGTTTAAGGTTGAGATTTTTTATTTTACCTATTAATTTTTCTCCTGTTTCATAGCTTTTGTCAACATCAGATACTCCTGGAGATGAAAATCCTGATCCACCAAGTACGTATGAAAGTATTCCACATGTAGAATGGGAATTTTTATAAGAATGTTAAGCATAAAAGTATGTAAACAGAGGGTTTGATTTCTGAGGACATAGGAAAAAGTGCTGGGAAGTTAACTAATATCATGTATCTCCGAAGACGCTTATACAGAGTTTTAGCAAGTCTGCTACACTTTATTCTTCAGTGCTGACCTTCCAGCTGGGGAACAGGACATACGCAGAAGAGAAGTGACCATCACAGATAGCTCAGAGAGTACTAGATGAGAAGTGTGAACAGGAAGCCGTCCAAAGAGGACAAGTTTTCTGTAAGCCAGTATGTTTGGAAAGGGCTAGTTGATGGATGATTTAAGAATTGGGCTAGATGTTAGCTGTTCATTAGGTGTGTGCTATTTTAGTGCAAGGATAGGAAAAAGATCTGGTTAGAACTTAGTTCTGGCCACATCTGGCATATAGTTAATGTATGTAATTGATGTGTGTTGGGTGTCCAGATGAGATGACAGTGCCCCATTTCTTGGCATACACCATGACTCAGATGACTCAGGAGTGGTATTGGGATTTGGAATTGGTTTTGACATGATAACTACCTCCTGTGTGATGACAGCAGGGCTCACCGCTCTTGATCTAAATGTATAACCAGGTTTTCCATGGACCACCCTGTGCAGCTCCCTAATACAGGGACTGTCACATTTTTTCTTTTTGAAAGTTTCTGTGCTCTCTTCCGTAACTCACAGCTCATAATCTTGCATCACTGAGGAAATAGACACAATCAAAAGAGAGCTGCTCCCATTTCCTCTCAGCAAAGCCGCCAGTCTGAGATGTGTCCATACCACTCACCTTTCTGTTCGTTTCATGAAGGAACTAAGGCCAGCTTTTCTCCTTGTCCTTTGTCCTCTGGATCTCAAGCCTCCTGCCAGCATCAGAATATTGCTTCGGCAGTGCTTGGCCCCTTCTGTTTCCATAGCATCAGGTTTTCAGTCTCCAGGGTATTTATTTCAGCGTATGAACCTGATGCACTGTAGCCAGTCCCCAAAAGACCCTTCCTTGAGTCCATGTCCTCTTCTAGCTGTTGTCTCACTTCTTTGCTTCCCTTTACAATAAAATGCATAGAAAGATTTATCTGTGCTTACTTTCTTATTTCTTTTCTATTTCTTGAACTTAACTCTACTAAAAAGTGCTCCTGTCAGGGTCACCAAGAACCCGTCACCTTTGTAAAGCCACTGCTTGACCTGGTGCCCACATTCAGACAGTTGAGTCTTAATCTCGTCCTCCCCCAGCTTTATTGGGATAGAATTTCCGTATGACGCTGTGTAACTTTAAGAAGTGATGTGATTGATACACATATGTTGCTAAATGATTATCATGTTAAGATTAACACATCAGCCGCCTCACATAATTTTACTTTTTTTATGTAGTAAGAGTATTTAAGATTTACTGTTTGTAACTTGCACGTGTGTGAACCAGTACTGTAGTCTGTACCCAGCACACTGGATATTAGATTCTCAGAACTTACTCCTCTGATAACGTCTGTCCATGTTATTGCAAATGGCAGGGTTTCCCCCTTTTTTATGGGTAAATAATATTCTGCACATATCACCACGTTTTCTTTATTCAGGTCTGCTGATGAACACTAGGGATCGTTCTCATGGCTGGCTGTGGGGAATCATGCTGCAGTGAAATGGGAACGCAGAAAAGCTTTCAGAAAGTGGTTTTGTTTCCTTCTGATAAATACGCAGAAGTGAGATTGCTGGATCATAGGGAGGTTGTTTCTTTTCCTTTAAAAAAATTTTTAGATTTATTTTAGCATGCGTTTGCAAGCAGGAGGAGGGGGTACAGAGGAAGAGGGAGAGGCGGAGACTCTCGCGCTGACTCCTGCCCAGTGCAGAGCCCGACACTGGGCTTGATCTCACGACCCCGAGATTATGCCCCGAGGTGAAACCAAGAATCAGATACTGAACTGACTGAGCAACCCAGGTGCCCTGGGAAGTTCTAGTGTCAGTGCTTTGAGGAATCTCCGTACTGTTTTCCACAGTGGCTGAATGACTTTACATGTCTCCCGGTGGTGGGAGGGGCTTCCCCTCCTGCTTCCTCATCAGCACTTGTTTCTTGGGCTGTTGATTCCAGCCGTTCTGACAGGTGTCAGGCCTAGTTTCTCACTGTGGTTTTGGTTTGTGTTTTTGGTTGATGAGTGACAGGACGTTGAACATCTTCATGTGTTTTGGCCATTTGTGTGTCTTCTTTGGGAAAATGTTGCTCATGTTTTCTCTCCATTGTTTAGCTGGGTTATTGGTTTTTTGGAGAGTTGAGTTTTAGAAGTTTTTTGTAAATTTTTGTTCCCCTTTATCAGGTAAGTCATTTGCAGATATCTTCTCCCATTGTGAAGGTTGCCTTTTAGTTTTGTAGATTGGTTCCTTTGCCGTGCGGAAGTTTTATATCTTGCTGAAGTCCCAGTAGTTCATTTTTGCTTTTGTCACTGGAAGCAAGGGTGCGTCCAGTGACATTTCGAGTAAGAAGTTGCTGTGGCTGATGTCAGAGGTTGCTGCGTGTGTTCTCCTCTAGGACCTTGATGGATTCCTTTCATCCATTTTGAGTATTTTCATGTGTGGTGTCAGAATGGTCCAGTTTCATTCTTCTGCATGTGGCTATCAGTGTTCCCAGCACCATTTATTGAAGAGTCTGTCTTTTTTCCATTGGACATTCTTTCCTGGTTTGTTGAAGGTTAGCTGACCATAGAGTTGAGGGTCCATTTCCAGGCTCTCTATTCTGTTCCATTGATCTGTGTGTCTGTTTTTGTGCCAGTACCATGCTGTCTTGATGATTGTGATACAGCTTGAAGTCCAGAATTGGGATGCCACCAGATTTGGTTTTCTTTTTCAACATTCCTTTGGCTATTTGGGGTCTTTTCTGGTTCTTCTTCTTTTTTTATTTTTAAGATTTTATTTATTTATTTGACAGAGAGAGCACAAGTAGGCAGAGAGAGGGGGAAACAGACTCCCCGCCAAGCAGAGAACCCTATGTGGGGCTCGATCTCAGGACCCCGAGATCATGACCTGAGCCAAACACAGAGGCTTAACCCACTGAGGCACCTAGGCGCCCCTCTTTTCTGGTTCTATACAAATTTTATTAGGGTTGGGTGTTCTAGCTCTGTAAAAAATGCTGGTGGTATTTTGATAGGGGCAGCATTGAAAGTGTAGATTGCTTTGGGTAGCATAGACATTTTCACAGTATTTTTCCAGTCCCTGAGAATGGAATGTTTTTTCATCTCTTTGTGTCTTCCTCGGTGTCTTCCGTGAGTGTTTTGTTGTTGTCTAGAGTACAGATCCTTTACCTCTTTGGTTAGGTTAATTCCTCGATATCTTACAGTTTTTGGTACAATTATAAATGGGATCAGCTCCTTGATTTTTCTTTCTGCTCCATTATTGGTGTATGAAAATGTAACAGATTTCTTTATGTTGATTTTTTTTTTTTTTTTTTAACATCTGTTCTAGCAGGTTTTTGGTGGAGCCTTTCAGGTTTTCTGTATAGAGTAGCATGTCACCTGCAAATAGTGAAAGTTTGACTTTTTTAATGCTGATTTGGATGCCCTTTATTTCCTTTTGTTGTCCAGCTGCTGAGGCTAAGATTTCCAGTGTTAAATAGTAATGGTGAGAGTAGACACCCCTGTCTTGTTCCTGACCTTAGAGGAAAAGCTCTGAGGGTACTAGCTGTGGGTTTTTCATACGGGGCCTTTATGATGTTGAAGTATGTTCCCGCTAAACCTTTGCTGAGGGTTTTTATCACGAGTGATGCGCTTTGTCAGATGCTTTTTCTGCATCTGTTAGGGTGATACAGGTGTTACTCTCCGTCTTCAGGATCTTGCTGATTGGTTTGCGAATGGTGAACTACTCTTGCAGCCCAGGAGTGAGGGCTGCTTGATTGTGGTGAGTGAGTCGTTGAAAGTCCTGTTGGATTCAGTTTGCTAATATTCTGTTGAGGATTTTTACATCCACATTCATCAGGGCTCTTGACCTGGAGTTTTCTTTTTTGGTGGGGTCTTTGTCTGGTTTTGCTATCAGGGTAATGCTGGCCTCATAGAATGAATTTGAAAGTTTTCCTTCCTTTTCTTTTTTTTTTGGACTGGTTGAGAAGAATAGATATTAACTCTTTAAAATGTTCGGGAGAATTCCCTTGGGAAGCCATCCGGCCCTGGACTTGTGTGTGTTGAGGGGGTTTTTGATTGCTGATTCAATTTCTTTGCTGTTACGGGTCTGGTCAAGTTTCCTATTCTTCCAGTTTTAGTTTTGGTAATTTATGTGTTTCTGGGAGTTTATCCATTTCTTCTAGGCTGTCCAGTGTGTTGGCGTGTAGTTTTTTAATAATGCTCTCTTATGCCTCTATTTCTGTGGAGGTGTGATTTCTCTCATCGTGATTTATTTGGATCTTTTCTCTCTTTTGGTAAGTGCGGCTAGGGGTTTATCGAATTCTGCTCTCAGTTTCATTGATCTGTTCTAGCTGTTGTTTTTTGTTTTTGTTTTTACTTTTTCTATCATTTATTTCTGCTCTAATCTTAATATTTTCCTCCTGTTGGCTTTAGATTTCCTTTTTTCTCTCCAGCTCCTTTAGGTGTAAGATTAGGTTTTGTATCTGGGACTTCCTTGTTTCCTGCCGTGTTGCTGCATACGTCCCTCTCAGGGCCGCCTTTGCTTCAGCCCAAAGGCTTTGGACCATCGTGTTCATTTTCATGTTTCCATGGAGTCTTTTATTTCTTTGATTTCCTGGTCAACCCATTCATTCCTTAGCCGCATGCTGTTTAATCTCCATGTATTTGTGGTTTTCCAAAATTTTTTCTTGTGGTCGACTTCAAGTTTCATAGTGTTGTGGTCTGATAATATGCAGGTATGATCTTGGTCTTTCTGTACTTGTTGAGGCCGGATTTGTGACCCAGGATGTGATCTGTTCTGGGGGATGTCCCGTGTGCACTCGAGAAGAATGTATATTCCGCGGTTTTAGGATGGCACGTTCTGAATATGTCTGTGATGTCCACCTGGTCCAGTGTGTCGTTCCCTTATTTTCTGCTTTTGATGATCTGCCCCTTGATGTGAGTGGGGTGTTAAAGCTCCTACTCTCACTGTGTCATTATCATTGAGTTTCTTTGTTAGTTCTGAATTGTTTTATGTATTAGGCTGCTCCCAAGTTGGGGGCATAGATATTTACAATTGTTAGATCTTGGTGGACAGATGCACTAATGAAGATGCAGTGACCTTCTTCGTCTCTTGTTACAGTCTTTGGTTTACAGTCTAGTTTGTCTTATAGGAGTCTGGCTACTCTGGTTCTCTTTTGACATCCGATAGCATAATAAATGGTTTTCCACCCTCCTGACTTTCAATCTGCAGGTGTCTTTAGGTCTAAAATGTGTCTTTCGTAGGCAGCATATCGATGGGTCTTGTTTTTTTTTTTTTAAACCCATCCTGACACCATATGTCTTTGATTGGAGCATTTAGTCTGTTTATATTCAGAGTAATTATTTATAGATTCGACTGTAGTGCTTTTTATTATTTGGTTTCTGTTTGTTTCTGGAGATTTTCTCTGTTCCTTTCCTGTATATCATTTTGATCTGTTCTGCTCACAGAGGCCCTTTTAGTAGTATTTTTTGCAGGGCTGACTTAATGACCGTGACCTCCTTCGGCTTTGGGGAACGCTTCATCTCTCCTTCCATCCTGAAAGGCGGCCTTGCTGGGGGGCGTATTCTTGGCCGCATGTTCTTCCCATTCAGCACGTTGACTACATCATGCCTTTCCCTTCTGGCCTGCCGAGTGTCTGTGGCAGTCTCAGCTGGCCTTATGGGTCTTCCCTGGTAAATTAAGGACTTCTTTTGTCCTGTTGCTTTTAAGACTCACACTATGGTTTGCAAATTTTCCTACAGTGTATCTTGGTGTTGGCTGGCTTTTATTGATTTCGAGGGAAATTCTCTGTACCTCCTGGATCTGGACGTCCCTTTCCTTCCCCAGATTAGGGAAGTTTTCTCCTGTTATTTCCTCACATAAATCTTCTGCCCCCTTTTCTCTTCTGGGA